GATGAACACAGCAGGCCAAGCAGCATCATAGGAGCAGAAAGCCTCTCTGCTCCTATGATGCTGCTTGGCCTGCTGTGTTCATCCAGCCCTGCACCTTGTTGTCTCGGATTCTCCAGCATCTGCAGTTCCTACTATCTCACATACATAAGGGATTGGTTAGCATTAAAATGTGACTCTTTGTTTATTTTAGGATTTGAGAACCAGTATTACACAACTGAAGAACTTGCACACATGTCTAAACTCATGGCTTCCTCTGGGAAAAAAATGAGATTAAGTCTGAATCACTTGATATACTCCATTATTTTTCCTCTAGAAATATATACAGTAAACTTAAGACAGACCACTTAAAGTGTATCACTACAAATTGTGAGGGTCTTTTTGAAGTGGATTTGAATAGAATCCAACTCAGGAATGAGTGGGAAAAAAAAGTCATGTAATCTACCTTTAATTTGCAACTAAACTGGCAATGGCACCGAAGGTAGATGATGAAAAATGGTGGGAGTGGGAAGTGCTGTCGTGGGGAATTTGCATCTGAAATTGGAGCACTTTACTGAGACAGTGTCGCTGAAGATTTACTTAGATTTACCTTAGTGTGTTCATTAACAATTGCTCAGAAGCATTCAAACACATTTTACGTCTTCAATGATAAGAGATAAGATACTTCCTTTTCCATGGCTAAACATTCAGCATCAAAATTAAGAATGCAATGTGAAGCCATGTTGCTTTCCCTGTAGGGAAGAATATAGTTACCACCCACTCTGTTTGATTCAAAGATAAAAGAAGGAACTGATGCTGCGGGCCCACAGGGAGAGAGCAAGATAACTGGCAGTGAGCTTCCCCTTTACTCATTTATGGGATGAAGTCAAGGCTGGCTAAGCCAGCATTTATTGCCCATCCCTAAGTTATGAGTCAACCACATTGCTGTGGGTCTGGAATCACATGCAGGCCAGACCAGGTAAGGATGGCAGTTTCCTTCCCTAAAGGACATTAGTGAACCAGATGCATTTTTCCCCAAAAATTGACAATGGATTCACAGTCACCATTAGAATCTTAATTCCAGATGTTTATTGAATTTAAATTCCACCATCTGCTGTGGTGGGATTTGAACACAGCTCCCCAGAACATTGGCTAGGATCTTTACATTAATAGTCCAATGATAATACCATTGCCTCCCCTAACAGTCATGGTGCCACAGGTACAATTGAGAAAGTAGAGTCTTTATTGCAATCATAGCCAGCAGTGGGGAACTGAAGCCATAAACTATTAGCATCACACTACATCACAAACCAGCCATTCAGTGCCTTGAACTGAGGCTCAAACTTGGCCTGCTCAGTAGCTTCATGGGACTTTGCAAATTATTGTCATTTGGCATTAAAGATCACATGGTTTATATAATGGCAATGGCTGATTCCCAACGCTACTTTAATGTCAGAGATTTGAATTACACAACATTTAGTCATTTGTTGGACTGTCTAGTCCTAACTTAAGGGCCTGACAAACATCGCTGATTATGAGTGACAAGTAGGCACCTTAATTTAAAATCATTGCTGTCCTGATGAATCTCACCCCACAAGTTGAAAAACACCTCTGTAAATTTAAATGTGTTCACAATCTGAGTGATTTTCTTGCTGATTGTAATGTCCATAATATTGAACTTGATGAATTTCAGTGTGTTAATTTTCGGCAAGGTTTAATTAGGTACAATTTGTGATTTGCGTTTAATCAGTTTTATTTTGAAGGAAATGGAGTATGAAAATTGGGAGGTTTTGCTAAAACTACATGGCACTACTAGTCTGATTGCAGCTAGAATACCGTGAATAGTTGTCCCCCCTAGCTAAGAAAAGATATACTGACATTGGAGGCAGCTCAGAGAAGGTTCATCTGTTTGATCCTGGGTACGAAGGGATCTTATTATGAGGATAGTTTGAGTACCTAATGTTTGTATACATTGAAGTTTAGAAGAATGAGAGGAGCTATTATTGAATCATACAGAATTCTTAACGGAAATAAAAAAACGAAAGAACTGCAGATGCTGTACATCAGGAACAAAAACAAAATTGCTGGAAAAGCTCAGCAGGTCTGGTAGCATCTGTGAAGGAGGAAAGGTCCTCAGAGGAAGGGTCACTGGACCCGAAACGTTAACTCTGTTTTTTCCTTCACCAATGCTCCCAGATCTGCTGAGCTTTTCCAGCAATTTTGTTTTAGAATTCTTAAGGGACTTGACAAGGTAAATGCAAAAAGGTTGTTTTCTCTTGTGGGAGAGTTTCGAACCAGAAGGCATAATCTCAGGTTAGGGAACCACCCATTTAAGAGAGAAGCAAGAAGATCCTTTTTCACCTAGAGGGTCATGAATCTGTGGAATTCTTTCCTGCTGAGGACTGCAGAGGTTGGATCATTAAGTGTATTCAGTGAAGAGATAGACTTTTAACCAGAAACAAAAACAGAAATTTCTGGAAAAGCTCTAGCAGTATCTGTGGAGAGAAATCAGAGATTTTTTTTCTGTGAAAGGAATCAAAGATTATGGGGATAAGGCAGAAAAGTGGAGTTGAGGATTATCAGATCAGCCATGGTGTCATTGAATGTCAGTACAGACTTGATGGGCCAAATGGCCTACTCCTGCATCTTCTAGCTCAGAAGATGGGTGAGCAGAGTTGTTTTCCTTATTTTTGGTTTACTTCTTACTTATTCATGGGATATAGATATTATTGGCTCAGTCAGAAGCTCTTACCTATCCTTGTTTTTGGGTGAAATAATTGAATGACTGGTGGGTTACTTGGAAGCCAACCCCATTGCCATAGGTTTTGAATCACATACAGGCTGAATTAGGTGGGGATGGCAGATTTCTTTAACTAAAGGAAGATTGGTGACCTAGATGTGTTTTCCATAAACTCTATTACTGGTACTAGCTTTAAAACAACAAATTGACTTTGAATTTCCCTGCTAGGATTTGAACTCAAGTGATCTCAGTTCAAACATGTTATGACACATCTCCAGCATATATGGGACTTGAAAAGCAGGGACGCTACCACTGTGCCACAAGAGTCCCTCAAGTCATGATATTATTTGTTTAGGTCCCTACAGTACAAATATAAAAGCAGAAATGCCAGCAAAACTTCAGCGGACCTGGCAGGATCTGTGAAGAGAGAGGGAGAGAAATAGAGTTAACACTTCAGCCCTAAGACAGAAGCTCATGTAAAAGTTGGAAATGCAACTTGTTTTGCACAAATGAAAGGGTGGAGGTTGCGAAGAAGAAAAGTGAAAAAGGAAGTCTCAGTCTCCCTCTGGCTTATTTCTAGATGCTACAACTCAGTGCAGATGTTGTCAAACACTGCTTTTTATCTTGAAAAGCACAAAGATATACAAATGCAAAAATATTTCAAATTATCTCTAAAGGACTTACGCAAAATCAAACTTTCCTTAAAATGACAGCATATTTATTCCAAATTTTAACCTCCTGTTTAGTCAATCAAATTCTTATGTAATCTCATGTTAATTCTATGGACCCTGAGCCTCTTACGATTGACATTTCATCTGCATTTTGCATTGTAAAGTTAACCTGTGAATAACATTGGTCATTTTTATGTCATTTGGCAGGGCAGAAAGTTGGATTATGGTATATGAATAAATCAGGAGATGCTACACGCTAAGTGTGCTTGGGAGGAAACAGTCACATTGAGCCAATGGTTCTCAGGGCTCTCTAGCACTTACAGCTTCCTTATATTATGTTTGAGCCTGTTATGGATTAATTGAGCGGGATTTGTTGCCAGGATGAGTCAATTATTCCCATTATTGGTGCATCACGTGATTACCAGCAATTCCTATGTTTCTGTACAGCACATTGTTTTCATCTGATTGTATAGTCAATATATCATGTAATTAAAAAATATGTTTCTGAATGGGGGCTGCTTTGTGTTGGTAACATGTCTTCTTATCTCCAGAACATCTGACAAATCTTAGGTCTTTCCCTGCTCTTTGCTATAAAGGTTGCGCATAAAATCGGCTGGTCAGATGTTGTGGAAATATTAGTAAGTATGGTCCCACTTATTACTAACTTGGCATTGAGGTAACCTTAAACAAAAGGCAGTCTGACTGCTCTGCCGATTGAAAAAATAGCCAGGCTGGTCCATTAGGGATAGTAAGAACTGGTGATGCTGGAGTCTGAGATAGCACAGTGTGGAGCTGGAGGAACGCAGCAGGTCAGGCGGCTTCAGAGGAGCAGGAATGCTGACATTTTGGGTCGGGACCCTTCTTCAGAAATTCAGAAGGGTCCCGACCCAAAACGTCAGCTTTCCTGCTCCTCTGATGCTGCCTGGCCTGCTGTGTTCCTCCAGCTCCACACTGGTTCATTAGGGAGAAGTGTTTCTGACACTGAGATTGGGTACCATTGCTGGAACATGGTAAAGAGTTTTTAACAGTTTATTTTACTTAGGTTACACCAGTTTTGAAAGCTTCATCTTTTGGAAGCCCAGTTAAGAATTCAAGAGCTCAGCACACAATTATCTGACTATGGTTGAAAAATCAGTGTGGGATTAGATTCTAGTTTTCCAGAATAAGTTTTGTCAGTGAGACTCCCCATAGGAATTACAGGAACAAGGCCTGTCTCATTCAACTTTTCACAATCCTGACAGTCACATGGTAACTCAACAACAGAGCCATTGACTAATCTTGGCAACCCCTAAACTGATCTACAAAAATGTACTTTGCTTGGCCTGGAAATTTTTGATGTTCGTAAAGAATAGGTCAAAAGTGGGAGATACTCTACTCCCTAACACTAACCTCCCTCATCTTGTTAACAACAAAGAAGATTTCTCACTTTTGCACGCACAGTCAAATGCATGCAAACACATGTAAACACACACACACATATGCACATGGATACATTTTAGCTATGGTGACTAATTATGTTCCACAAATGGCACCACCGAGTTGATCAAGAAATTGGCAAAATCTCCACAGAGGAACAAGTACACAAATTTATTTTTATTAATTAAATTGCAAGCATTTTCTTCCTACAGTCAAATAAAAGCCACTGTCAAGCTGTTGGCACATTCATGTACAAAAACAGATTAATTATACAGCCTGCTACAAAGCATTCTTTGTGAAAATACAAAGACTAGTACCAGAAAGCCAATAGCATTAAGTTATTACCGAATACAAGACATCATATATGAATCAAAGGACATAGATTAAATTGACACAACCTATAGATATCACATGAAAGGAATCCAACACTACAATAAAATGTTGTTGAAGAGAGTCGCAACATAATACTGGAAACATAGGCACCCTAATACTGCACACAGTACTGATACAGTAAGAGAGGCTACTGTTAAAACAAACTTGCCGTCAACTCTTGAGAAACTATTCTCATATCTAGTGTATAACCATGCTACGAATAACAACTACATCAAAGTTCTTAATCTAATACAGAAAACGCTTAGGAATTACCAAATGTTGCATGACTGTTACAGTATAAAGCGGATCTCAATTCCTTTAATGTCATTAAAAATGCACTTACGTCAGGAAACAGCTCACCATAGTCCACAATGGGTCCGAGGAATGGACCAAAAGAAAAACGAACTAGGATTTCACTTCCAAAAACACCGATGGAAATCTTGTTCAGGCTACATTGTTAAGGGAGACACCATACTGCGTACAAAGAGCAGTATCAATAGGCAATACAGAATAAAATCCAACACACCCATTTTGGTCCAGTTTTGATGGATTGCTCTCAATGACTTTTACATTACAAGTTTCACTGGCAGCTTTCTTCATTCATCCCTCATCTAAATATTTAACATCAACTTTTTGCCATGAGCAGCCAAAATGACGTTCACAATGAACAAAAAAATGTATTCCTTTATTGTCCCCAGCCACGTCAGAAACTACATATTTTACACTTTGAGTCTACTTTCACTCGACAAAGAATGCTTGATTAAACTGTCAAAGATTGGCCATTTAATCTGAAGCGGATATTTGTTGCCGGAACCAAATTGGGAACTGAAAGCATTATTTCCCTACTCTCACACCCCCTCCCCCCTTTAAATGTGAAGTATTCCAGTTAAAAGTTCTTGCAAAATGCAGTCGCTAAGCAAAGGTCCAGATGAAACAGAATGTGGGAGTGTGTGTCCTGTAGCAGTAAGCTCCTATGAAACAGGTTACGTTGCAGCAACGTGAACATTCATTATTTGTCCAGTCACTTCTCGAGGCCTTGATAGTGTCCTCAAAATGCCTCCTTTCCCCACAAGATCAAGGCCACTGAGAAGTAGCCCTCAATGGAAGATCAAGAAGTAGCTCAACTCCAACTTCTCAAGGGAATTGAGGGATGGAGAACAAACCTCTGACCTCGTCCTGTGAAAAAGTCTTTTTAAAAGAAAAGCTGGTGGAACCCAATTGCACTCAGCAAAGCAGGGATTGCCAAGATTTTAAGGAATCAAAGGAGGGGTAGACACACTCAGTCAACCTAAATAAAGGACTCTAAACCGTAAATTAATGGAATGACAGGATGAAATCTCCAAATACTATCAATTCAACCCACAATCTCACCTTGTTTAAAATGACCAACTGGAAGTACACAAGTAATCTGTCAACATTCAGAAATATGTTAATATTTCAAGTATAAACTTTTTTATTCAGTTTACTCCTGAAATCCAAGGAATTTTTGGATGATGCAATTTTCCAATTTGTATAGAGGCATTGGCATAATCATCAGGATATCAGGAGGTGGTGAAGGAGAGGGGCACTGAGCAGGACTGGAATAAAGAATGTTCCACAAATAGACAGGCATCGCTAGGACCTATGTGGGTTCCCAGAGCTACATTTTCTTAATGGAACTAAGTAGGAAAACTCAGGATGCAATGTAAAGAAAACTGATTATTAGGATCATCAGGTCACGAGAAATTCAAATAATCATCTGACATTCAGAAAATTTAAACAGGGAAAACAATGGCATGGAAATGACTACAGGTGGTTTGTAGCACATAAGTTATCATGGTGGTATCAAAATCTCCTCTTTAATCAAAGAAATAATCCATTAGAAAACTCCATTAAATGGGAAATAGAGGAATTTGATATGAGTGCTTTAAGCATTTATTTAATGAAATCAGCCACAGTGATTTCCCAACTTGAGCATAGATCTCTCTCTTTCCCTTTATATATGGTTCCATTAAAAATTTTCTATCAATAAAAATAAGAGAGAAGAATTATCTTTTTAAAAAATCACAAATATCAAAGTCTCATTTAAGAAAAAATGATCAGAAGGAACATTTCACAAACCCAATGGAATTTTGTTCGTGGAATGACGTTTGTCCTTTCTCCTAAATGGTGAGGCATTTGGATTTTTAAATCACTTTTTCAAAAAAAAATGTGTGGGCAAATCACATAGGAACTTACTGAACTGGTAACCAGGGTTGTGAGTCAGTTGTTAAGTTTTAGCCAGACACAAAGAAGTGACTGTTGCAAGTAAGGGGGAAGGACATTTTATGTATAGGCATTTAACCGCTCTTTCGAACGGGTAGAATGGATGTCATGCAACTCCTGCTCCTCCTTTGACTTGATATCCTCGTACTTTTGCATCCGACAAGCATCTTTCACGTAGGCCCAGTTGGCAGAGAGCACCATTAGGTAATGAACCTGCAGGATGAAACACAGCATGAGGTTTCTTGAGTAATAAGTAAGATCAGTGTCGGACATGGGTGATTATTCATCTGCGGACACAAATGTTCACACACAAAAACCTATACATAAGCACATACCTACCCTAACCTGCACAGAAAAATAAAATGATCAAGGGAACTGGGAGAGGAATTGACGGGCTGGGTCATTTTCCTTTGAAAAGACAGAAGATTGAACACAGATTTTAAAATGAAGATGGTTTTGAATTAATTGATACATGGGAATTTTTTTTCTCTAGTGGTGAAGAACATAATTAGCCATCATCAATATAAGATCAATACCAAGAAATACACTTGGGAAATCAGGAAGAATGTGTTCACTCAAAGAGTAGTGAGAATGTGGAACCTGCTTTAAGCACTCCTACTGTAGTAAATAGATACATTTATTGTGCAACTAAGGATAGTGAAGGAACGGCAATATATTTCCAAGTCAGGACGGTGAGCGGCTTCGAGGGGAACTTGCAGCTTCTGGGGTTCCCATGTATCTGCTGCCCTTGTCTTTTCAGATAGATGTGTTTGTGGGTTTGGAAGGTGCTGTCTAAGGACACTTGATGAATCTCTGCAGTGCACTTTGTAGGTTGGACACACTGTTGCTCTGAGTGTTGGTGGAGGGTGTGGATGTTTGTGGATGTGGTGCCAATCAAGTGTGTAACTTTGTCCTGGATAATGTCAAACTGCTTAGGTGTTGTTGAAGCTGCACCCATCCTGGGGTATATTCCATCACATTCCTGACTTCTGCCTAGTAGATGTTGGACAGGCTTTGGGGAACCAGGAAGTGAGTTATTAGCTGCAATGTTTGTAGGCTCTGACCTTCTCTTGTAACCATAGTATTAATATGGCTCATCCAGTTTAGTTTGTTGCCAAGGGTAATCACCAGGATGTTGATAGATCTCAACAACAATAAAAGAAAATAAAAGACTTAAACCAATGTCGAGGAAAAGCATGATTCTCCAAGTGGATATGTTGTTATGTTGACGTTTTAAGGATGTTGGTGAGAAATCTTTTGGTTTACTGTGTCCAGTTCTGATCATCCTGTTATAGGAAGGATATCACTAAGTTGGAGAGGGTTCAGTAGAGATTTACCAGTATGTTGCCAGGAATGGAGGATTTGAGTTATAAGGAGATGCAGGGACTTTTTCCACTGGAGCATGGGAGGTTGAGAGGTGATCTTATGGAGGTTTATAAAATTATGAGGGGTATAGATAAGGTGAATAGCAGGTGCATTCCCCTGGAGTTGGGGGAGGATTTCAAGACTAGGGTCATATTTTTAAGGTGGGAGGAAAAATATTTTAAAAAGACATGTGGGGCAACTGTTTTTACACAGAGAGTCGTTCATGTGTGGGATGAACTTCCTAGAATCCCTACAGTATGGAAACAAGCCATTCAGTCTAACAAATCCGCACTAACACCCTGGAGAGAATCCCAGACTCAACACCCACCCCCACCACCCCGATCCTATTCCTGGGACCCTGCATTTCCCAGGGCTAATCCGCCGAACTAACATATCCCTGGACACTGCAGAGGTTGGTTCCACTCTGTGAACTAAAACCAAAACACTCAAAGAGGAGCACTTTACCATATAAAAGGAATGTGAAAGATGGTATCACCTTTCAGCAACTTCAAATGGTTAAACAAAATAAATCGCTGACACTCACGTTAAAATCAACAAGTAACAATTTATTTATCTAACTCTAACAGTGAACAAATTAAGTAAACCTTTTACAAACACCTTCTAACCACTAACCGTTCCCAAATAAAACAAGATTCTAATGGTATGCTGTTCTAATAAATTCAAGTCCCACTTACAGAAAAAAAGATAAAATTTAATCTCTCGAAATTACAGCCTGGTTACATGTCTTCTGGAATGCTCTGTACCTTCTCCTTCTCCGAGGATGGTCTTGGAAATTCCTCAATGGCCTTCATTTCCACATTCCTCGGTGTCATCCGTCCGTGTCCGATGTTGTGCCCTAACGACGTCACTTCTGCTTTAGCAATTTCTGTTTTTTCCAAGTTTATGATCAACTTTGCCTTCTGTAGTCTCTCAAAGAACTCTGCCAAATGCACCATTTGATCTTTCCACGAATGGCTAAAGATCATTAAGTCATCTATGTAGACAGCACAATTAGTCAATCCTGCAACAACTCTGTTCATAAGCGTATGAAATGTGGCTGGTGCATTTTTCATTCCAAAGGGCATTACTTTAATTTAATATAGCCCATCTGGAGTTATAAATGCAGTTATAAAGGGGTTATAAAGGTATTTGCCAGTAACCACGAAGTAAGACCAACTTTGTGATATAAGTGGCTTGTCCTACTTTTTCCACACAGTCCTCCAGCCTTGGAATTGGGTATGAATCAGATTTGGTCACAGCGTTGACCTTCCGATCATCCATGCAGAATTGTTAAGTACCATCAGGTTTGCGAACCAACACGATTGGTGAACTCCACACGTTCTGATTCGTTTCTATGATGTCTTCTTGGAGCATCGCTTCTACTTTCTTCTGAACATGCACTGCTTTGAGAAGATTAAGCCTATTGGGGTGTCATTTTATCAGAACAGCATTTCCTATGTCAACCTCATATACTATAGCATTAGTCCTCCCTATTCTATTTCTACATAGGTCCTTTTAGGTCTGTAACAAGTCTTTCATTTCAGTTCAAGATAGTAGGAACTGCCGATGCTGGGGAAATCTTCAGAAGAAGGGTCCAGACCCGAAACATCAGCTTTCCTGCTCCTCTGATGCTGCCTGGCCTGCTGTGTTTATCCAGCTCTATACCTTGGTATTTCATTTCAGTTCTCTGTTCTTGGGACAGATACATAGAAAAACGAAACATAGAAGATAGGAGCAGGAGGAGGCCATTCAGCCCTTCAAAACTGCTCCACCATTCTTCACATTCATGGCTGATCGTCCAAATCAATAGCTTAATCCTGCTTTCTCCCCATAACCTTTGACCCCATTCACCCCAAGTGCTATATCTAGCTGCCTCTTGAATACATTCAATGTTTTGGCATCAATTACTTCCTGAGGTAATGAATTCCACAGACTCACGACAAATTACCAATCTCTCAGGCAATATTTCAGAAGGAGTGCAAATATTTTCATCTCTTACTATTAGAGACTGGCTAGCTCCCATATCTCTCAATGTTTTAACTTCTTTACCTACCCGCTCCATTCTACCTGATATAATATACCCACACACGTGAAGTCTTTGAAAAGCTCGGGTGCTATCTTACTATCCAGCCTGTGACTAGGTTGTGCATTCTCCTGCATCCCCTCGACTTGTGTTGGGATTTCCTTCACTACCTCAATTAATTCCACACATTTAGCTTCTTTTACCACATCCTTTTTCCTAGGGCCTTTCTTAAAGCAGCAGCACGCTGACTTTGTTTGTCCCACCTTTTTGCAGTGAAAACACCTGAGGCGTCTCAACTTTTTTCTCCCCTCTTGGGTTTTTTTTTCACACATGGTAAACTGTTCCCACTGTGATCTACTTTTTGTTTCTCATTGAAGGATCTCTCCCTTTCTCAATTTCTATCCCCCACGGAGTGTGTCAGAAGCTAGACTTCAAATTATGCACTAAAGCGTATTCATCCGCCATCTCTGCAGCTCTTCTCGCTGTTTTAACTTTCTGTTCCACAACATGAGTTCTTATCACTTCTGGAAGTGAGTTTTTAAACTCCTCCAGAGAATAATATCTCTCAGAGCCTCATATATCTTTGCCATCTTTAATGCTCTCATTCATCTATTGAAGTTGCTCTGTTTAATTCTTTCAAACTTGAGATAAGTCTGACTTGGTTCCTTTCTCATATTTCTGAACTGTTGTCTACATGCTTCTAGTATCAGTTTATAGGCACTCAAAATAGCCTGTTTTACTTCTTCATATTCTCCCGACACCTCCTCTGATAGTGCTGCAAACACCTCACTATGCCTGCCTACCAACTTGGCCTGAACTAATATTACCCACACAGTCTCTGGCCAATTCATTTGTTCAGCCAATTTCTCAAAGGAAATGAAAAAGGCTTCTACATCCTATTCATCGAATTTTGGTTATGTTTGGACATATTGTATATATATACCTACCAGGCCTTTGGCTATGATGGATTTGCTCATTATCATTATCGTCCTCACTAAGACTACATTCTATCTTCATCTCCATCCCTTTAAATTGACAATCCTGTTAAATTGCCAGCTTCTGAAGTTCAAATTTTCTCTCTTCCTCCCTTTCTTCTCTCTCTTTTTCTTTTTGTTTTGCAAGGACGATTCCTTCCTTTTCTCTTTCTCCTACTTTTAGTCGTAATTCAAACTGCTTCTGTTCCCTTTCTTTCTCTTCAGCTAGGAATCTTCTTCACCTTTCTTTTTCCTCTAACTCCAGTTGTCTCACTTGCAGTTTAATTTTTTTCTAACTCCACTGCACTTGACTGTTTCTCTGATGTACCTGAATGCTTGACTAACTCTGTTACAATTTCAGTTATTTCATTATCCCTATTTAAACCCAATTTTAGCATGTCTCCTAATTCTGAAAGTGTCACCTTTTTCTGTCTTTCTAAACTTTCTTGGCAAATTTGGCAAGCATCTTCGAGCCCCAGAATCTCTTTAGCAATGTTAAGAGCTGTTTCCCCATTTTTGATTTAACCAACAACAAGCTACTGAAGTTAAACAGATTTTTCCACTTCTCACTTAGTTTTATTTAAAGACCTAGGACACAAGCCCCCAAGTTTAAATCTGCTGGGACCTTTTGTATCCCAAATCTGTCCAGATCTGTCTAAATCTGTCGAAATCAGTTCAGATCCATCCATATAACATATCTGAGCACCCAATTTGTTATAAAGTGGAGGTTGACCCCCCCCCCGAGAACTAAAACTGAAACATCTAAATAAGAGCACCTCACCGTATAATCTATAAAAGGAGTGTGAAAAATGGGGTAATGCGTCTTTCAGCAACTTCGAGTGGATAAATAA